TCAAGCTCTTTAAACTCTCTGAAATCCTTGCTTGTTCCCAGTGGTTCCTTAGTGAAAGGCAGTCTGGATAGCCCCCATTAATTCATTGTTAACATCAGTAAGGCAAGGTGATTGGAAGCATATTACCTGTTGACTCCATTATTGAAGAGCCAATCTTTGTCCCTAAACAGTGGGTATGCATCTAGATTCCTTTGACAAACTTAAATTCTTATATTTCTAAATTGCACACACTCTGTCTTACCAGTGACTTTGAAATACTGTGGTTTCCACTAATTATTGTGTTTTACATTCTTTTCGGTAGTAATTGACATAATTTTCTATAACAAAATTCATTTCCGAAGAAAGTAAAATAATGATCTTTAATAAAACATATACCCTTTGTGACTAGGTCAGTTCTCTTTTGGAATGGAGCATGGACTCAGGAGAGAATTATTTATAGTTCCTGTTGAAACATTGTCTGTGGGTACATTTGAGGTGAATTTATCATTTTAATAATGCTTTACTTAATCTGATACTAATATCAATGGGCATTCCTTATACAGCAAATAATGTTTATAATTCAGGAAGTTTGGGGTTATAGAGGAGAAAGACAGGGAAGAGCTAAAAATACCAAAGCCAATCTTTTTTATAGTTAATAATTGTATATTTGGTATTATTTATGTTAAGCTAATGGAAGGTGAATGATTTTCTTTTGCTGCAAGTATCTTTAAATTAAAAAAAGGAGAATCAACAGCACTAAATATTAGAGTACTGTGAACATTAAGACTAGCAGTTAATTTGTTCTTTTAAGTCTTAGTCGACTTTACAGTGATGTGCTCGAACTGTAAGGCATAGAATTGCTTGTCCAGGTGTAATTACAAGCGGTTTTTGTTGGACATGTTTATTAGGTTCCAACGTTGAAGTTCTCAGTCAGGCATGGGAATTAGATACAATTTATGCCCTGGAGACTTAAAGTAGCATAGTCGAATAGTTCCACACTGGTGTAATTATGCTCAGCCTAACATCTGGAATAATCAGTTTTACATGTTTAACTACTCTGAACTCTGACCCAAATCCAGATATGCAGTTATAAATAGATTTTCCTCTTAATAGTCAAGAGAATTAGCAATTAAGACAATACTCTAGATAATTATTTTTTAGGATGTTTACATATTTGTCAGAATCTGCCAGAAAATTAACCTTTTATAGTAAATCTCAGCTAATAAAAAGCCTTTAAAAAGATTACAACTTGAAAAATAGCATTTAAGCAATATTATGTAAAATTTTTAAACTTAGACATTTACCCTAGAAAAGAGAAAATTTATCTTGAGATAGGCGTTTTATGATACTGTGTTTTTACCCCCAGAAAATAATTCAATTTATTGCAAACTAAACATTCTCTTTGTTGCTACTGACGTTCCTGATGGTCAGTAGAGGGAGCACAAGTTTTCCAACAAGCCCTCCATCACAAAACTGAAGTGATATCATCAGTGATGACAAGAAGGGGAAAAATCTAGGCTGATTCATATTGGTTCATGTTCCATAAGCCTCGAGGAAAAATTAAAATTAATAGGAAGCCAAGCACCATAAAGATAAAATATATTTGGAGACCATATTTTAAGTTGAGATATATCGATAAGAAAAAAAATGGATATAATTCCTTTAAAATTAAAAAATCTGGGTTGTAATTCACAGACTGATTAATCACTAAACTTAATTTCACTGAAGGTTTTGTTTGACTTTTTTCCTTATCATAAATTCTAAAAGTTATTGAAGGGCTGTCTGGAACGGTTACTTATATGATGTTCTGAAATTTGGTACAACAAAAGAGGTTGTAATGATTTATGTGTGTTTTTGTATTCTTTAAGAAAAGCTAGAAATATTTTTTTCTCAGAACAGTGTCCTAAAGACTGATTGTGTTGTGATTAAGGACTTAGGCTTAGTTAAAAACATATATTTCAGCAAAAAACTAAAAAATAAAGATCTTTTATAAATGTGGCTGGTAGTTACAGTGGAGTAGTTTACATGTTCTGTAAGCATTTGATGGGATGTAGAAGATGACTGTTATCTTTGTCAGAAAGTTATTATTAATTGATGTGTGAATGGTGCTATATAGATTACTCTAAAGAAACTCAGATGGCATGGGTGCTTATTTGTGCTACTCTGTTAGAATTAAGTACTGCAGAGAAAACCAAGTCACTTTAATTCCTCTCTCTAGGATCTTATAGATATCAAAATAATGTCACTGAACATTTTTATAACACTTCTACATTTTTTTAAATAATGAAACAGCTCTTTAAATAAGACCAATGAAAATAGGTTCATTATTTGGAGGAATTAATTGAGATATATTGAGATTTAGTGAGCTATTCATGGTTACATCGTACATTAGTATAGTCAACAAAACCGGAACCCAGAGCTCTTAACTCCTAGTTGAAGGAGTTACCAACCAAGAATTCATACAGCAATCTGAAAATACAAGAAAATTGTTTAAATCACCAATCCTTTATTAAGTGCCTATTTTGTGCAATACATTGTGCAATTACTTTTGTTTGATTAAAAAAAAATGAGAAAAATTCTAACTGCCCATGAAACTACATTTTGTAGTGATGATTCGAATAGCAGAGAAATGGTATTTAAAACAATACAGTGCTTATATGATATGAAAGCTAAAGGTACTTTTTAGGACTAATGCAATAGAAAACCCTGTATGTACTAGTATATAGTTAAGAAGAGAATTTGGAGGAAATAGCTAAGAGGGTTTCCTTTACATGTGAAGAGAATGGCTCTGAGATTGAGGGGCCATAAGTATTGGAGGAGGTAGCATTTCACATTCCCTTAAACAGGTTTACTGAGGCACTCAGGTTGAACAGGGGTGGTTTGGGAAACTGTCATTAAGAGGTAATGCTAAATCATATAATCAGAGAGCTAGTTGAGACCTCAGAGACTCTCTAGTCTTTGCATTAATTTTACAGCTAAGGAAACAGACCTAGAATGCTTCTGAGTTATTTGCCCAAGGATAGTCACACAGCTAGATAGGGACAGAACTGGAATTAGATTCCTTCCAAATGCCTGGATATGACAAAAACAGTGAAATTGATTGGTAATAGAATCCAGAAGGTAGAGAATTATGGAATTATAGTAGATTTGATTATAATTTTTGCAGAGATGTGATTTCCATCAATCTTTAAAAGACGGGAAAGAGAAGTTGGACTAGTTTTTGATTTCTTGGGCGGAATAAATAAAAATAGAAGATATAGTGATCCATGGAACAGTTCGAAAAGTAGGATGAGCTCCTGATGGCAATATGAAAATGATCTTCCCAGCAACTTGTAAGACACTTTGTTAATAAAACTAATAAAGATAACAATGATACTATTATTAACAACAACAACTACCATTTATTGAATGTTTGCCATGTGTCTAAGCATCATATACATTAGTTCATTTAATTATTTCACCCTGCGACCTAAGTGTTATTATGCCATTTTGTAGTTAAAGAAACTGAATCTTAGATTAAGTTATTAACCTAGTCACACAGGTAGTTGGCTATGGAATAAAAATTTGAATTCTGATTCTGTTTGAATTCCAAAGCTAGTGTTTCCCTAACTTGAATAATGAATAGACCCTCCTTCTAAAGGAAAAATAATCTGCCCTGTACTCCATATTGACTTATTTTTGTTATAAGACTACTTAACTAGGTATAAACATACTTTCTTTAATAACTTTCATATAATTTTTAAAAACTTAAAAAATTACAAATTAAATACAAATAAAATAAAATCAATAAAATGCAAATTAATGATATTAATATGGAAGATGAAGTTTTTGCTGAAATGAAAATACCAGTTGCAAGATGAATTTGTAGCTATTGCACACTTGTTTTGAGTTTGGCATGGCTGTATTGCCACATGCTTTGTGCTGACTTGGTTCTGCTGCTGCTTTTCTCTATTTTGACTTTTTCAAAATATCCCTTCAGACAGTGTAGTATCATTTGATCTTCATTCAGTATATTCAGTTATTTAGGGTTAGTCCTACCTCTGTTTTCATTAGCTATGACAGAGTACTGCCACTTGGTACCAATTTGATGGTTTGGGTCTCTCAAATATCATTGGCAGTATGTATTTAGTTATAAGATGATAGCTATCCAGGTGATTTAGAATATGTTTATGTTAATTATTTTTCAGGTTGTCATCTAGAAGAAACCACAAAATTTAAGAAATTCACAGGCTCTGCAAATCATAACCAGGCTTCCAGGGTTTCCCCTTAATGAAAAAATTGCACTGCACTTTCTCTCAAAACACTATTTCATAGAACCATCTGATTTCTGCGCTAGTGCAGACTCAGGAAAGCCTCCTTCTTCACCTATTTTCAGTGCTGCCTTAGTTCATTTTGCATCTGAAGTTCTGCCACGGTGCCTAGTTTTGCCCCTACCAAACTATTCTTCACAGTGTGTCCCATACTAATGAGTTTTCTATAATACAAACCTTGAGGACCGAGTTTAGGAATCACTTCTTTCTGGAAACTTTCCCCTATTGCTTCTCCTTATCTCCTGCTTCCTCACCTTCCCTATTCTCACCCCCAGACTGAACTACTTATCTTTTTCTTTATTCCTCCCTGTAGCTCCATAACACTTTAGGAGTACTTCTGTTATAGTGCTTAGCTCATTGTGTTGTAATCCTAAATTTTTTTGTCTTCCCAAGTAGTCTCTCAGCTTCTTGAAAGTAAGGCCTGCTTGTGCATCTTGCAACTGGTATGTTATCTGAATGGGAAGGAGATTCTGATGATATAATTGTGATATTGAATCATTGGTCAGTCAGTTGTAATTTTAGAAGTGAGGATTCAGAAACAGGAAAGAAAGCAAAGTAGACATTCATGTATGTAAAATTTATACAAATTGCCTAAGTAGTTAATGTAGTAGACTTTTTTAGTATGTAAGTAACATAATTTTGGAAATAATCTTTCCATAAAGAATTAAATGGTAGCATCATTTTTCTGTCCTTTTGTTTTCTCTTGAGTAGGTGCTGTGATCGTCTCCACGCCCCAGGACATTGCATTGATGGATGCACACAAGGGTGCTGAGATGTTTCGAAAAGTCCATGTGCCTGTAAGCATTTATGCTTCACTGTTGCAAAAATATGAGACACTTTTAACTGAAAAAGCAAGTCATTGAGAAATACAATCCAAGTTTTGATTTGGTTCTGTGCAGAAATCTGTACGAAAGCCCTGTTTCATCTTTATGCTTTACAACACATATGAATGCAAACATGTATACATGTTATATTAAACAAGAAGAATTCCAAAATATTCTTCGGGTATGAGTTTTCTGAACAAGTAGTACCTCTCTCAAATATTTGCAGCTCTTACTGACCTCTCCCTCCTCCAAAAGAAAAAAAAACAATGAGTATTTTAGGAAATTATTTAGGTAGATAGACTTGAATAGGTCGCCAAAGGGGAAGAATAGGTGGAAAATATGACTTTTCCACTACAATTTAACTTCTATCTCCCACAATTTAACTCATTTGTAGCTCACCATCTTCTAGAAAGTATCTATGGATTTTTTGTACAATATAGCAAAATAGAACAAATTAAAAATATAATAAAAATAACACAAAGGACAATTAAAATCAAATGGAGTCAGAAGTGAAATCTGTAAACAAATTGCATGTCATTAAGGGACTTAAATACATGCTTGAAGTATGCCATTAATTTTCTAGCTGCCATGGGGAAAGAAACATAGTCCTATTACAAAGCCATTAGATTTTGAGAATCCCTTAGATTCTCAAAAAAAGAAAACCCTGTATATATAAACATACTCTTGTCACTTTCTTTGCCATAAATAGAGATTCTTCCTCCTAGTATGCCTCAGCAAAAGCAAGTGGACTTGTGCAAGTGGACAACTGGGAACAAACATTTCAGTACAAAGCCAATGTGATGTTTCCATCCATCTGGCTCTCTAGTGGCCTTACTAAATTCAGGGATAGATTTTAGAGCTTATAGAGCAGAACTTTTAATTTTTAATTTTTATTTATTTATTTTATTTTTTAATTAAGTTTATTGGGGGGTTGACCTCACAGATTGCAAGGACCTTGTCAGCTTACAATTCCTTATTTTTTTATTTTTTATGCCTACAGCACCTGGTCTTCCCGGGTGGTCTCCCATCCAAGTACTAACCAGGCCCGATCCTGCTTAGCTTCTGAGATCAGATGGGATCGGGCTTGTTCAGCGTAGCATGGCTATAGACATATTTCCAGCCTTTTCAGTTGTAGTTTACTTTAATGTTGGGTTTTAATTTTTCCTTTTTGTTCTTTGGGGAC